TTAATGAATGATAATGGAATGCTCACCGTGTGGTCCCGGCCTAGAATAGGCCACCCCTTTCTTTCCCGTGGGTGTCGTAAGAGCCGATTAAGGAAGGGTGAGGGATGGGCAGCAGTGTCCCTCTTAAAACATCTCTAATCGCCTAACTACGGTTGCCGGGGGAAAGGGATTATTAGTAATGGAGACTAAAAACCCCATTGCTAGCAATATACCTAACCAGGTCGACCTCCACGCGGTTCCCCCTGGAAACTGTCATGATGAACTCATCATGATGGGCTAACTGGCCTGTTTTCATTCTCATCTATCACCCTTTACTGGTGCTCCGCCAGCGTATCCCGTTAGCGCAGGCAGGGTTACCAATTCATTTTCATCCAACAAAAAAAAACTGCGGTTACTAACACGTCTGCCAAGAGTGGCAACAACTGAAAAAACTCCCCTTATGGAGTAGACAATCATCAGCTGATATAATGATGATATTGCATTGGTTGTATTCCACGGTTTTGCCCGTGTTAATTAACATATAAATTGCCATATGAACTAAGTCCTTTAGTCGGCTCATACGACACTCAAGGGAATGAAAACGGTGGCTTATTCTATCATCATCATATTTGTTGTTAACTGTCCACTGCTGAACATAGGATTCTTCCTAATAGGGAATTTTGCTAGTAGTTGCTATGCTTGATAATTGCAGCTAGGCTTTGATGATATTTTAAGAGGGACGCGGCTGTCCAATCCTCAGCTAATAAGTTCCCTTAGTCGCCTCTTATGACACCCACAGGAAAGAAAAAGGTGGGCTATTCTATGCCGAGACCATACGGCTATATATACCATACAACAATCATTCAGAGACCTTACTTAGTATATTCACAATCAAGAAAAGTGTGTTACCTAAATTGATCGATCGTAAATCGAATCGAATAGCAAACAATAGCATAATATGCAAGTATTAGAATTAACTGATCGAAGCGAGATTTGCTTTGTATTTCCAGTTTTCATTTATTATTTCCTCATATATTGGTTAAATATCAATGAATAATTAAAAGTTCGCTTATCGTGTATTCGTGTGTTGATCTACATTTTGTTATCACCTTTTTTTTTACCACGCATTTTTCCTTAGTCGTCTATCTATTGCGTCGAGGCAGTTTGCGGCGTGCTCGTTGCATCCAATGTCGCAATACATTGTTTTAATACCACTAATTTTACCAGAGGGAGACTTTGTACAAAAAGTCGTTAGCTTGGGTACCTCTGTCCCATTCGTGTTTCTACCGTGAAGCAGTTGTGTTTGCATGGCTGTGTTTCGGTTTGAAGGGTGGAATATGGCGTGAATTTACAGTGTACAGAGGAATATCACCTGAGTCCTCAGGAATGCAACGCATGGGGGCATGGTCGAAACAGTATATTCTGTTATGTCCATGGTACTGCTCATGTCTATAGGCGACGGTTACCACTTTCCATCAGGTGGACCGTCAGCTTGTTTGCCATTCTATGTTGTATAAAAAAAAAACTACATAATATTTGTACACATACATACATATTTTTCACGCCTGCCTCCCATTAGGGTAGTCAGAAACAATGGAACGTTAAATGCTTCCAGTCAACCAAGCCACTTTCGCTCCTTCCACATTCATCAATCTTTTCATACACGCTCGCCGGTTACAGGTACTTTTATTTTGGCCCTTCTTCAGCACGCCGCCTATTTGGTCAACATACGTCCGTCTAGGCGGCCCCTACCGACATCTTAGACACCACGCCGGTATACACAAACCACCAGTGTATGCCAGCTGAAGAACCCGGAGGTCGTCGCCTCCGGAGTTGAAGCCGGGTAGAGGGGTATACCCCGAGGCTCCTACCTCGCCCGCCCACACAACATCTGGCGGGCATAAGAAGTCCCTGTTGATTGATAAATCTGTTTCGTAATTCTTCTGTCATCTATATATATATATATATATATATATATATATATATATATATATATATATATATATATATATATATATATATATATATATATATATATATATATATATATATATATATATATATATATATATATATATATGTACAAAAAAATGTACGTATTTATTTTTTAAAGGATGAAAATGGAATGATAAACCGCCTGTGCTGTCGGGATATGTTAACGGAGCAACAGTAAAGAATAATAGGTGAGGATGAAGCAAATCAGTTGGCCCATCGTGATGAATACATCAAAATATTAATTTAAGTTTTTTAGCTGAAAACATGTGGAGGATATATTGCTTTGGGGCTATTAGATCCCTAATACTAAAAATCTCTTGCACTTTTTTATGCAATTAGAAATGGTAAACAAGCCGATGGTATACCTGGTGAAAAGGAATCTTCGCATAAACATGAGCAGGACAAATAACATCACAGAATACACTGTGAAAACCGATACGACATCTTAACCTTCAAGAAAAGAGCATATTCCTTTTTAAACAGTCGGCAGCACACCTGCAGTGCCTCTGGTGATCATGGGCGATGGTAGTCACTTACCATCAAATGAGCCGCGTGCTCGTCTGCCCTCTATGTTATAAGAAAAAAAAAAACTGTGACCCTCATGTTATCCTTCATGATCTATCAATTTTGAGGACTAAGGTATCGTGCAAATACACTGCCGTATACCACCTTTCAAACCGAAACACAGCCACACGTTTGATGTGAAATATTCTAAATGTTTTATTCCACGTGCATATCCAAATAATTGGGTCAGAATTTAGATGAGGTTGGCGACAGTGGTGCGGTCATATTATGAAACGTCTGCATGACTGTTTCGGGGGCGAAGTACTGTTATTCCCCCGGTCACAGCATTAGCATTTCAGAACTAGATTGTGTTGACATTTCTATGGTGCGATGGAAAATTTTGAAAATACATTAACCCCTTTTATTCGTCCATATTTACCTATACTAATATATTAAAGAGGACAGATTTGTTTGTTTGTTTTGTAATAAATAAACTCAAAAACTATTGAATTTTAAAAATTCTTCACCTATAGAAAGTTACTTTATTAACAGCTATCATTGGCTATATTATTTTTAAAAAAATAATTGTGATTTATTTATTTACTAGCCGTTTCCCGCGGCGCTGTCCGCATGAATCGCTATATAAAGTATCCTATGAGTTAAAATATGATATATAACCTACCCTCATAAAGTTTCAGCCAATTCAACCCATCGGTTATTTTATAGCATTTTTATATGTGATCCTTTAGATTGATATTTTTTTTTTTATCTATGAATCTATTGAAACAAACACTAAATGTTAACTAATTAGTTAACTGTGTTAGTAACTGTCCATTCTTCGAGCATCAGATTTCCTTAGTCGCCTCTTACTACACCCACGGGAAATGAGGAGGTGGCCCATTCTATGCCGGCATCTACATGGCCATGAAAAGAAGAAAAGGAAATTTGTGTTTGCATTCGTCGTAAGACGAATTAATTTGTTTCTACATCCGAGAAGCATTGGTGGATATTATTTTGCGTAAAAAGGTCCCCAGTTCGGTATCGAACCGAGTCGGGCCATTTTTAGGCACAACTCTGGGTGTTTTGGGTTGTACTGCCAGATGTTGGTTGAACTAGACATTTTTTATTACTGTTATTTTAAACAAAATTCACGTTTTCCCTCTTAAGGAGATGACAAACTAACTCCTACTAGAAGCATTGTCGGCCGGGGTTCAGGATCCCAGGAAGAGAAACTGGCGTACTATGCGGGCAGTATCTAAGAGCACTGTTTTCTGCATATTTTCCGGAAGTGAACTGCCTTGGAATCCTGACCATCTGAGCTGTTGTTCCAGATTGGTTGAAGTAAGACTGTCACTGACAAAATGATTGGGATGATTTCGGTGGACGTAACCTCTCCCACATTTCGGTCACCTCGTAAGCCAACTCGAGATATTTCCTCTTTTCCTCGGTTTTAGCTTTTACAAGATTCTCGTCTTGTGGTATGGTGACATCCATTAAAAACACTTTAGAGTGCCCGATGCATTACCCCGATATTAGGTTTGTTCGCAGAAACTGTCCTGTTCGTGATGATGGGTCGGCCCCAGTAGAGTCTGACGCTGTCACTTTCGAGGAGCGGCTGAGGCTCGTACTTATAGTACGGCAGCCTCTCACTGATGAGGCCGTATTTGAGAGCTAACTCTTGATGGAGTATTTTGGCTAACTCTGGCTGTATTTATATTATTTATGTGATATTATTTTTACTAATTATTTTTATCAGAGGGAAATTTTGTACAAAAGTCGTTTGCTTGGCCACCTCTGTCCCATTCGTGTTTCTACCGTGAAGTAGTTGTGTTCGCATGGTTGTGTTTCAGTTGGAAGGGTGGGTTATGGCAGTGAATTTATAGGGCACAGAAGAATAACACCTGAGTCCTCAGGAATGGCAACGCATAGGGAGTATCATGGGTGAAACAGTATACTCTGTTGTCCATGGTACTGCTTATGTCTATAAGAGACGGTTACCACTTTCCATCAGGTAGGCCGTCAGCTTGTTTGTATTAAAAAAGAACTATTATCACACTATTAACATACTACATAGATACCTATATATGTATATAATAACAGTATAGGATATGATAGAAGACATGTTGATTGTTATTAATACTCACGCCTATCCATATTCATTAATAGATATTTATATTGGGTGAAAAACAAACTTTATCTATGTTAATTGTCATGACTCAGAAATTGGTCGCGTGAAGTAGCATGTGACAATAAAGATTACGTCTTAATCAACGCTATCTAATGAATTTTTGTTGTTTTTAGACAGATAAAAACTGGAAACTGTATTGAAAAAATAATAATCAATAAATATTCTATTATTTTTTCATTAATTTATATAGTTAAGATGCGTATCTGTGGATTTATTTACATTGTTTGTAGTAATCATTTATAATAAACTGATAATGGACTAGTGCTAAGGTATGGAGTCCAATTAATTGAAAATTAAATAGTACAAAAGGTTATATATAAATGAAAGGCATAAATAATTGTTTATCACTTTTTTATAATTTATTTTCACAACATTTTTATTTAATTTTCTGTAAAATTTACAATATAGCTTAAAACTCCTCACAAATATATAGTAATCATTATGTAACGCAACAACAGCGTCTCAGCGCTTCGTGTTCTACGAAACAGGCAACTTGGAAGAGAAAATAATAACTACATGTAAATATATTTGATAAAACCTAACAATAAGCTTATATAACGTAAGGCTTTATGAACTAGCAACCCTTAAACTAGAGAATCGGTTGGCTGGCGTCGACTGCTCGCTTGTAACATATGAGCGGTAGCCGGCGCGCGTCGCTTCGCATGAAGGACTGACCAAACAACAGGCGACTGACACGTAATACTTCAGATTAAATGGATACATAGAATTATAACACCTTTGTAATAATAATTAAAAGAAAATAATGTTTCAAAATGTTTGTAGGTACTTTTAATACCAAAACTTTTAAAAGTTCCGTTTCATGTCACGCATTCGTTCAAGTAGATATGAGTAGGTACGTCAGTCAACTGTTGCGTGCCCATGCCTTAAATCTTCTAAGACAACGCTTTAATTTTGGCGCTTGCGTACAATACATAATCTCATAGAAATCTTATTTAATCGTATAAAATACTATTTTGATTTCCATTATTTACCGGTTCAATAGAGTAAACCAAATAAGACTATAGACTAGCTTGTAAAACAATCGGTTGTTGCAATCGACTGTCTCTCAGTGGTTTACTTATCGATTTTACGATTCCAATAGTATTTTTTATTTTATTTTTATTAATGTTTACAACGACATTTTACAATATATATATATGTATATATGATTAATTAAATATTTTTTTTTTAATATTTACGTTCGTAATTTTTATAAATTGTCTTTTCATTTAAAAGTGCAGTAGTTTCATATTTCTTTGAATTATTATGCACATTGCACTCTCGTATTATTATATCATCAATATAAATAAAATATTTTTTGCATATTGCATACATTTCAATTAATATTAGTTTATGTGTAAAATTTTATAAGCGGCATCCGTTTGTCATTATTTTCTTGAGTTTAAATTGAAATAACAATCCAATTTAGTATCTATTTCTACATTACAATGTAAATATTTAATAGATATTAATCTGTACGAAATGCCGTTATCTAGTGTAATTTTTATTGTTCTTGTATATTACATGTTGAAACATGTAAACTAAAACGTCTTGTTTTATCTTATCGTGGTGTAGTAACATGAGAGGCATGTACGTCTGTATGTCAGAAAATACATTTTATTATTTTATAATGTGTTATTTTAAAATATCAATTATAAGATTTATTGTTTGAACAATTGGATATTTAATTTACATGTCACTATACTAGAATACCTAATAACAAGAATTAATATAAAGTAAAACAATTAAGAGTTTATTAAAATTTAAATGGGTTCTTGTAAGTATTAAGATTGTACTTTTTTTTACAAGTTATATAGATGTAGTGTCGTTGTTATATTTTATATGGCTATAAAAATTATACATATATACATCATATGCTTGTTCTGCCACTCTAACAATATATAACAAATATATACTGTCTTCATTAAATACAGAACGCAAGCGCCATCGATCAGTGCTCATTTATAGATTATACAAAAATATTAAAAATAAGGCTAGCTGAAAACTGATGGTAACTTTAGAAAAATAAACTCTTACACTATATTGCAATGTCTCTCTTGTTGTTGATGAAAACATTTTCATTTTCTGTTTTGCAAATATTTAGACCGTCATTGGAAGCAATTTGTCATATTGTTAAAACGGAAGAGCTTTAAAAGCTTTTGGGTTCAACTATCTCATTTACTTAATTGGCAAGAGAAAATGTAGTTAATAATAATTTTTTGCTTGTATACTGAAAAACTATAAAATTGGCCCATACCCAAAGTAAAATAATAGAAATAGACCAAAAATTATTATATTTTATTTAAAATAGATTTGTTGTACGTTTCTGATTTACATTAAAAATGCTATAGATTCTTATTGACTCATTTTTGATAAGTGGTGTTATTAATACGAGCCAGTTTTCATAATAGAAAATCACAACATAAGAAATACCCAATTCACGCCAGGAGGTAGTTCTGAACAGTTTTTGCCAATAGCTGATCTACATTATATATGTATATATATAAGTATATAACAATCACAGTTACAATAATTATGACAATAAGGTGACATTAAAATATATGTCGAAAAGACTACAAATCACAACTTAGACGCCTGTCTCGATATAGCGAGAGTAACACTAGTGATAATTAACTTACATTCACTCTTATTACAAATGGAATATAGTTTAGATTCCGTTAGCTATATTATGTACTTGTTTTATTACTAAGTACAGACGACTGCGAACTAAGTCTAATTTAGGTCTAAACTGTTCGACTATTCTGCATTACGTTTCATCCATGACGACGACGAAGTTTCACATAGATTCTTGTCTTTGATATATTCATTTGATGTCGGCTGTAAATTTTCAAAAATGAAACGATACTTGTTGTTACAAATACCATTTGCAAAATTGTATTACAAAGCGTTGATATAAAATTATCATGGATGAATCGCAGCAGGTCTTAACTTGTATCATACTCTTATCATCTCGACGTCACTTATGTGACATTATGTAAAGACTATTTATATAATGAAACGAGTTAAAAAAAAAAAAACAAAGTTCGCCACCAGACGTTCTTAAGTTCACATAATTTTCGAGGAGTTAATAGAAAAAATGAGATCTTAAATTTTGGTTCGACAGTGAGCAAGTCTGGAAATTCGTTCATAAAATCGTTATATTGTACCGAAGTATTATAATTAATCTACAAACAGCTTGTCCTTACTTGTCGATTATTTCGGATGTGACTTGTTCTACTAAAAGATTACAAATTTCTTATTAAAAGCTCCATTAAGAACTCCATGCAATTATGTTTGTATACATATATATATTTAGTGTCTATATGCACTTGCAAAATATAAAGACATGTACATTTTGGCCGGACACAGTTCACGCATCGTTCATAAATCTATGTTTATCATCGTTAAAGTACAACAATAATAGTAAAACGTTCTATTGTATTTAATCTACATAATAAATGTAAGTAGGTATATATTCATCGACAACAGGTTAATTCTACAACAATTAAATCACATTTTCCGTACCATCTACTGTTTTAATATAAAATGTAATTGAATGAGAAGTTAATAAAACATGTTCGTAAGTACTCTGTTACTAAAATGACTTCCTACATTGTAAATGTTCTTAAAATATTTATTTATTGGTTTTTTTTTTAATATTACAAAAGAGTGAACTTTAATATTGTACACACCTTAGTATTATATATTTTTTTGGTTTTTTTTTTTATTATATATTTTTTTTTTCTATTTATATTTTATCTTAATTTGTTACTTCGCATGCCAAGCCGTATACAATACTAGAGCGATCACGGTAAAGAGATAGTGTATATATACAATCTTCTAGAATAATAAATACGTAATAAAATAGATTAGTTCTTTAATAGATAATGTCCCATGGCAAGGAAAAAGATAGGTCGCGTGCTCACGACGCGTGCAGACATGACAGCGTTAAGCCGAATCGAGTTCCTAATTCCTTCTCTAAATCGCAATATAATGATTGCAATCACGTTTTTAATTAAAAAATAGAACGGAATTTCTCGCTTACAAAAGGCCATCGGACAAGGCCGGACTTGTTTCTTGTAATAATATGTTTACAGCATTAAAGACATGTTATCAGTGTTGACGCCATTCCATTCTTCCAGGTCTGGCAGCTCGAGCCAATAAAATCATCAGTAATCCTTTTACTCGTTCCTTCAGTTATTGTGAGAGACATGCCACTACTTTTTACGGAGACAAATTTATACACATAAAGCTTAAAAATAAGTAACTAGTCTTTTTTTATAGGCAGACCCATCGACTTGGACTTAGTGACTAACTCTAACGACTTTGACATCACGTGGAAAATAATTTGCGTACTGCTAACATATTAATTAATCAACACGAAAGGAGTACGACTAGAAATTATTTCACGTCTCCAGCGTCGGCCGCATGCGTTCCGTTGATCTCTCCTTACTTCTCTACCTACCTGCTACACGTAGTCTAATTAACGATACCGTTCCTACACTAATTGGCATAATAGACGTGCATTTAGTATTTACAGTTCATCAATACGGATCGCTCTATTTCTCAGGAGATGCAGATTAATTGGGGAATGCTGGCGATATATCAAAGTCGAGTGAGGCTCGAACGACCTCTTTCGTGACAATTGACGTGCGAAAATTGATCGGTATAAAGTGAGCAACTTCGAATTGACAGAGAGTTAATCGTCTCCTAATTCGTGATCGATCCGACTGCACCTGCGGTGGATTGCACGATTGCCACAGAAACGGGCGCAAGTCTACCGGCCTGTCTGGTTTCCGCTTCGGCTCATACATTTTATATATTTTTATATTTTCAATTATGAAATAAGAACTCAGCCAAGAATACGAAGCGCAATATCGGTACACGACATAATATACAATCACACTCGCTAGGACAAGGTGAAATCATACATATACATATATTTTTTTTAACCGTATTATATACATTTGGCACTAAATTCATCGTCGATCGATAAAGAGGGGTAAGAATCACGTGTGTCCTGTCGCGCGACGCGACGCGGCCTAGCGGGGTCACGCGGGGCACAGCTGCGGGCGGCAGCAGTCGCAGCAGGGCGCGGGCGCGGGCGCGGGCGCGGGCGCGGGCTGCGGGCCGCAGGCGGCGCACGCGGCGCACGCGGCGCACGCGGCGCACACGCACACGAAGTAGCCCGCCGGCGGCACCACGGCCGCCACCAGCAGCGGCGCGCGCGCGCACAGCTCGCGGCACGCCAGCGCCTCGATCAGCGCCAGCGTCTGCCGCCGCTCGTGCCCCATCAGGCACACCGTCGACTCGCGCACCACGGCGTGCAGCAACGTCAGGTACCTGCCCACCGACACCCCTTGCATTAACTTATATGCATGCATACATTTACAGTATACTGACAGTAAGCTGACTGGGATATTTTAATGTGAAATGTTTCCAGGTAGACCTTTTCCACTTTCACATCATGATTTCATAATATTTCTCACTTCATCACCTTTCTGTTCATATGACTTTCTAATCACTCTGTTTATCACCCAGTTTTCTAATATATCATTATAATTTCAGCCTGTATCTATCCACTTCTATGCATAGCTCATTTTGAAATGCCTTTTACTATGTACGCCCCTCGGATCCATTTTAATATATCAGTTATGTATAATCTTAACAAATATGATAATAATTATATATGTGTGATATTTACCTGTGCTTGAGGGCCTCCTCTTCTCGCCCGACGAAATGATTCCGTAAATAAGCTTCGAGCTTTGCACGTTGCTGCCCTAGTTCTGGGAAGTCGATAAAGAATCTCGAACACATATATCGTTCGAGGGTCTTGATTTTATCCGGTCGCGCCGGCCTGTAACCCTTGGCGAGGAGTGCACAATATTTCAGTAAGCCCCCACCGCGAATTTCTTCAGGTTGCCTTGTAGCAATTAGCTTTTCGGCAAGGTGGAGCAATGCTTCATTGAAGTCTCCATATACTGATTCTCCGACTACGGTTGGGTAAAAGTTCTCTCCAATTGGCAGCTGAGCGCATTCATGGAACGCCAGCAGCGAATCTAAAGCGATCTGGAACGAGTCCACAGAGAACTCGAACTGTCGTCGCATCGTATCTACGAATTTCAACTCGACGGACTTATGGCCACGAGAGTTTCCGAGTGAGATCAGAGACCAGCGGTCGCCGTCCGAGTTGACACGCACCATCTTAGACACGTAAGCTTCTTTAAGACCGGCGGTAGAGGCGCGGCGGCGCGGCGTGGCGGGAGGGAGAAGCGTTGAAAGATGTCCTAGGACAGCGGCCTTGACACGGTCGCAGTGGCGTGCCGTGGGTAGTTCCGCTGTGAAGATTAGGTCGATATCGGAATATGGCTGCGGACGATCGGCGAGGACATGGCTGGCGGCGCCTCCGTTAAGCCTTACGTCACGGACAGTGATACCAGCGCCGCCGGTGCTCTGTGAAGCCTCGAGACGTGCTCGCACGCCTGCCACCAACTCTCTCAGCCGCACATGCAAAGTGGGAAAGTTGCCACGGCCATGAATAGCCACCACTTCGTCCATGACGTCGTTCAGCCGTCGTACTTGCTCATAACTGAGAACGGCATGCCGTTCTCCGGCACCGCAGCCTTCTTCTGACGAAGTGTAGCTCGACTCGCTCTGTAACAAATGAGATAAGAATTAATAGGGATATAAAACTTGAGACGACCTAAACCTAAGGTATGTCTTATATTATAATTCTATTTTTTATTTAAACTAACTGTATACCGCGGTTTTGCCTCTGGTCGTATCGTGATGCTGAATAATCTTTTACCTTTCTCAAGAAATGCGCTATCGAATGCAAAATTAATTATTCAAATTCGACTGAGATTAGCACGTTCAAACAAACAAACTTCTACTTTTATATTAGTATAGAAGAGCAAGAGTTAATTTTCTTTAACATTATTTTCGGCTGTATCTGCATTTGGAGTTGTCATAAATTTTTTTAATAACAAACTGAATCACACGTATCTATTTTTTGTTCTCCTCGAATATTCTATAATCACGACGATGTGAAATGTAAAAAAAATATTTGAAAGAAATTTCATTTCAAAATAGTTCACAAAATATATATATATATATATATATATATATATATATATATATATATATATATATATATATATATATATATATATATATATATATATATATATATATAATAATATGTTTTCAACATTGAAACAGATTTTGCAATTGACTGCAGAATGCAGAATGTGAATATAACAAAGGAATTAGGTAAACAGGAATTTCGAAACATAGTCAAAAGGCATCTTTGGTGTATTCGCAGTGTCCTAAGGATATTTTACAATACTACCACCACTATATGGACCGTTAACGAACATTTCTATATTTAAAGTAACATGTCTTTGTCATAGTTAATAGCTATTAGTGTGCAAATAATACGATTCGTTACACATGTCGAGAGATCAGCGGAAATTTTGGTTCAAAACAACTACTAATAAATGGGCTATTATAAACACAAGTTTACGATCTTATTTTGTTTTTTATGAGCACCACGTATCGGCCAATACAAGGTTTTAAAGTACAAAACATAGTATTACGATTTACGAGTGTGATATTTGCATTATCGAATTCCGTTAGAATTCTAATGTCTGTAATTAAATGACGTGGCATGTTGCTCCGTGTAAATGAGGTCCTTGCTTCGAACTTTTCCGAATTAACTCGAGTTAGTTCTGGGTTGTCATCTTCAGATGTGCTTGGTTCCTTATAACACACAGTATTTTAGCTTGATGACTAAACGAGTGGATGGCTGGCACTAAATATTAGTCTTGTTGTATTACAGACCATTAAACTTCGAGGTTACTGAACTCAACATGGAACATTCACAAATTGATTCACAATGAGAAATGAATTCATGGATTATTATATTTCAATGCTGCTAACCATCAGTCTATTGTATATAAATCTTATTTGGGCGGCCCCAGTGTGCTGGCCAATATCATGTGCCACTGGTAAACGAATAAATTGTATTGGATACTCCAAAGAGATATTCTTAATATATTTTAGTAGCGAACTCCCCGAGGTGTTTCACTATGAGAATAGATTTTAGTTGTTATGTGTAAGCCATGTTGTAGCGATGGAGTTAAGTACAATATGTGACAATTGCATATGATTTTTAAGGTGTTGTAAGTATTGAGTAACAAAGCATTAGTGCATAAAAATGGAAATTCGAATTGCAACCATGTATCTAATCGTTTGGCCAGTGAAATGATTTTTTTTTTATTTCTCATGTTAGGTAAAACCAAAGCTGCTATACTTTGCTCGTATAAGAATTTCCCATAAGTCTGCCAACGTCTGCCAGTGGGATGTACATGGGATGTTAAAGTATTATATCTATTTTTTATAAATTAGGGGGCAAAACAGCATGCGGATCATCTGATGATAAGTGTTTACTGCCACCCATAGGCATGTGTAACATCAGAGAAATTGCAGGTATGTTGCCCGACCTTTATCAAATAATTCTAAGAGTTGAACCGTCAATTAAATTTTCTGTTATTCCTGTCGACGGTTGACTGGTAGGTAACGTCATATGGTGTCAAGTCCATTATTTACACTTTCTTGGTGTACTAAAGTTTGATAAATAAATAAATACAAAGGTATATACACACAATTAAATAGATATATACAATATAAATATTATATAAATACATAAAATATAAAAGAAGATTCTTTCCTATCACTTTCTTTCCTTTTGGGAATTTAGCGTAAAATAAAAAGACAAAACTATAGCTAAGATAGGTTTATAAATAAAAATGTTTATGAATAAAGGCAGATTTATTAGCAGATTTAAAGAAATCCTGGACCTCGATCACTTCGAAGGAAATGTACTCAATGACGTTTCTGTGTTACGTTTTATTGGATCGATACAACGTTGGTGGCAATAAACGGAACCGTTTGATAAGAATGTGGTCCTAGGTTAGGTCAAGCCGCTGATAAAAAGGTCAGCAATACACAGTCACAGCGATCGCTTCAGTCAACAAAATGAAAGGGTTAAACAATGGGTAATATGGAGGAAACTAAAACTTGTGATATCGCTTTTTATATACCAGAGGGAGACTTTGTACAAAAGTCGATTGCTTGGGTACCTCTGTTCCATTCGTGTTTCTACCGTGAAGCAGTTGTGTTTGCATGGCTGTGTTTCAGTTTGAAGGGTGGGATATGGTAGTGAATTTACAGGGTACTTAGTTTATTAAGAGGTAAAACACCTGAGTCCTCAGGAATGGTAACGCATGGGGTGTATCGTGGACATAACAGAGTATATTGTTTCGCCCATGATATCCCCCATGCGTTGCCATTTCTGAGGATTCACATTTCATTCACTATGTTTTTAATCACCTATAGGTAACGTGATTTTATAGGCCAGTCTAGATCGCCACCGCTAATTGCATCCTTCCATTTTTAAATTGTATATTTGTTTATTTTAATAGCCATTGTTTCTCAATACAACTTAATACAAGTGGCAAGCTTAATGCCATACTATGCTATTATCTACCGACTAACTATTAGGTAAAAACAGAAAGCGAATAAAGGGCAGTGGCAGTGAAGAATATTTGACATAATTATCGTAATATACTAAAATAATTATACATACACACAAAACATAAGAAATACACATATAATACATATTTGTTCCATTAAAAAAACAAATGAATTGTACAAAATTTATATGTTATTTATTTTATTAACTGAACAATCTAATCCACGCTTTGTATCCCTCGAGACACGGTACGGATTATTTACGCTGGCAACTTGTTTAATTAATGTAAATTGGCCTTGATTCTATAGAGCAGGATATAGGAAGTGGGCATATTTGTAGTTGTCAACTGATATATTAGGTACTTTGGTACTAAACAAACCGGACCTTCGGCGAGTACCTATAGTTGCCATTCTGGTCCCTTATCAAGGTTGAAATATAGAACAAGTTTGTATTGATTGTTGACAATATATAAATGATAATTAATGTGTTAATATTACTAATAGAGAGAAAGAGAGAGAGAGAGAAAGATCCTGGCTTATTTTAATGTTTGCCTCATGGTTGACTGGTAGAGAACGCTATCAGGTGTTAGTCCTCCATATGTACATTATATAATTGTGCATTAAAGTTTAAATAAATAAATAAATAATTTTAATGTTAATGACCTCACAGCTTTGATTGCACGTTTAGTGTACATATGAGTAAGAAGATGACAAATGCTTCAATTTTTCGAGAGGCATTTTCCTAAGCGATACTTCAAGTTATTAGTTATTATACCAAAATTAGAGTCAAAATCCTAGTTTTGTTTCGGTGCATGGAAACCAAATATATCATACATATGTTCGTTATCTATGAAATATCTAGTTTTTTCAAAAATTTTACGGTAAAAATAACAGCATATTTCTGCATTTACTAGATTACGGGAATTTAACAAATTTACTATATTTGTTGCTTTAAGTTTTATTAAATACTATAAAATATCAGACAACAGTAGGAAGTAGAGATAAATTTGTAATTTATGACCAGATTTATAAAAAGAAATTACTAATTAACTAAAAAAAAATATAGACGTTCGTGATTTCACCCGTGCCGCTTATTTTTTTAATTCGTATTAAAAAAAAAAAACAAAAGTGACAGCTGAGTGTCAGTGTCATGGTGCTTGACGCTCTCACAGCGGTGACCTCTCGCAGTGGTCGAATAAAACGAATTTCGTTTTGTTTTTCCCCGTCGATTTGAAATCACTCGGTCACTGAGGTGAGGTCGCATGCGCAATCGAGACGAATCGACGCTTGGCTGTGAATAAGAATTACTTTTGTCGGGTTCCGCGTTTTGATGAAAATACAAGATTTATCAACATACAGTTATTTCTTAAAAAAAAAAAAAGAAAAAGGGGTAACCGTAAATTGAATTTAGGCTATTCCGTTTTTTATTTTCTTTCTAATTTTTTGTATCCTTATTTTAAATAAGTCCTCATTCAGTGTGCCTAAGATACTTACGGTATTACTAATACAAATAAATTTATTAATTTATGTATCTTGTTGGTATTTCTTGATCTACATCTATTTGAGATTAATTAGGAATACAAGATTAGGGTTGCTACCTGTCCAAACTTTGTAGGATTTGCCGTAGTTTGAAAACGAGGGTCATTCGGAAGGAATTTAAAACGGTGATAAAATCTAAATGATTTTTATTCAAACCCAAGTAACTGAATATTGAGTAATACATTAAAATAAATTATATTTAAAATTCATGTAAACATCATTCAAGTATGTTTATGTAAATTTAGTCAAAAATATGTTACCAAATCAGTAAACAGTTTATAAAATTATTAAAAAAAATTAAAAAGAAACAATGTTTCATTGGTAAAAAGTGTACGTGGGAAATGCTAGATTTTATCCAAATGTTAGGGATTTTTAAGTTTTTATCGAGAGTCGACAACCCTATGGAAGGTGAAGTATAAAAATATTGTTACATAACAACATTTATAATAAATGTTACTTTTGTATCTAAATTATTTTAGGGTCAAAGTACTTATTTAAATATTTATAAAAAACAATTAGTCAAATTTAATTAAAATTTAAGTCGTTAAATCAAATCTGACCCTGGGCGTCCGATAGCGTTT